TGAGGCCCTGGGTTCGATTCCTCAGCACCACATAAGCAAAAAGAAAAAAGCCAGAAGTGGCGCTGTGGCTCAAGTGGGAGAGCTCTAGCCTTGAGCTGAAGAGCTGAGGAACAGCGCCCAGGCCCAGAGTTCAGGCCCCACGACTGGACCCAAAAAAAAAAAACAAACTCAGTACCAGGGGTCAGGCAGAGACTTCCTTCCTTTGGAGACTCTCTCCCTGGAGCATCTCCGGTCACTGATCCAGTACTGTGCTCAGGACCCCTGGCTCTTCACCCCTACAAGTCCTCTGGGTGGCTGGCCGTAGAACTGGGGATGAGTTGAGGAGAGAGCTTTCTCAGACATTTTTGAGGCAGCCTTCTGAAAATCTCTGGGTGGGTGGTGCTTTACGAGGCCTGAGACTTAACCACATTTCCTTTCCTGGAAAATGGAAATAAGCCAATGCTCCAATTGTGGGATATGGTAAAGAGCCAAAGAGAAGAGTGAGTGGCTGGGTGTGGGTGAGCAGGTGCTGTTATCATCCTGGTTCTGCAGGTCATACCAATCATGCCAGGTCTCTCTGTCCCCTCAGATCACCAGATTTCCCAGCCCCGCCCCCTCCATGGCTACTGAGGACCCAAACACCATGATGCTGCAACCCAACAGGTCCTGAATAGTTGCATGTTTGACCTCCTCTGTGTACCACAAATTCCTCAAAAGAAACAACAATGCAAAGAGTATCTTTTAATTTAAAACATGTTTTAAGAGCTGTCTGGAAGACTAGCGTTTAATCAAGAGCAAATACTTTCCCAAAATAATGAGTGCTTTGTGTCACAAGTGATCTTCCACCCATGACTTCGTTCCGTCAATTCTGGTATTCTTAGATTCAATCCTTTGGATTCAAGCTGTGTATTCTGGAGAAATTCATGTCCTTTCTCATAACATCCAACAAAGAAGTTGAAGAGAATAAGCAGGAGTTAAAAAACTCACTGCAGGCCTTGAGGCACATCTCCCCTGAGGAGTTTCCAGATGTTTCCTGAAAGAAAAGAAAAGAAAAAGACAGGAAGACAAAGCTATCTGCATAGTCTCAGACCTGAGTGAGGCCAGTGTAGGGTTAAGTTAGAGGACCATAGGAGAGAGCCTCTCCCAGCTGCCCATCAGCCACCTGGCCCACTCGCCCGAGTACCTGAGCCTGTGCAGGTACTCTGTGCAGCAGAGAATGGTGAGCATTTGGGAGCACTTTGCTCTTTGGTGGGGAGTAGCTTTAGATTCTCATGGCCTCACTCCCCTCACTGACAGGAGAGATCCTACCTGAGTGCCCTTGAATGCGGTTTGAGGAGCCACCCAGGGCAGGATGGCAGGATGGAGGAAGACAAGGCAGAAGTGAGATGACGGGGCAGGTCAGCCTCAGAAGTGTTTGCTAGGGAGATGCTGGCTGGGACAGCCAAGCTGAAGGTTGTATCAAATACTCCTGGTGGAATCTTGCTAGACAGCAGGAGCTCGGGGGCATTGGATTTTTCCTCCATGACTCTACCCAGTAGGATAATTCTCCTAAGACCCACAGCAACCCCTCATATCTGAGACCTTTAGGCAGGCCACACTTCATTTCCTCCCACAGAACCTGGCAAAGCAGACCTTATTCCCCCCTGAGGGCACAGGGAAGCATCCAGAACTCCGCAGGGAGGAGATGTAACTGCCTGTGGTCTCACTTGGCTTGTGAGCAGGGCTCAGTGACAGCATCCTGAAGCCCTTCGTCTCCACTGCTCTTACAGTGAGTGCTGTGGTGGCAGGCTAGCTCCCGGAGCTCAGCAAGGATGTTGACATTGGGTCAGAAGGCATGGGCCAGACTTGTGGCGTTCGCTGCCAATAGGTAACGCAAACTGGAAACTGGGTTGTTGCTTGATTTTCGTTGTTGGTAGTGGTTTGGTTTGGTTTTTAAATCCCATCCACCCGGAATAAAACTACACACAAACCAGATAAACCAGCTTTCAAGATCTTGAATCCCAGCTGGCCTTCAATTTGTATCTGCCCCTCTCTACCCTGGGCTGGGCAGGACACAGAAGCAAAGTGTGAACAGGCAAAAAGGCAGAGCCTGTGGCTGCCCTGAAAAACAGCCCAGGGCTGACCTCACACCCCCCCCCATCCACCCCTCCTCACCATCGGGGTCCTCAGAAACCCTGGTGGGCTGGATGCTGCTCCACTCAAGTTGAAAATGTCCTCAGAGAGGTCACTCCAAACGACAAATCTAGCCTGCATGCTCTGGTGACAGCAGCGAGTGTTATGGGCCGCTCCTACATTCCTGACATGCTCTCCTTTGTGGGAACTTACGTGTTCTTTCCACTGGCACTCTGGCTCCTCTTCACCTCCCTTGGACCCCTTTGCTGACTTTTCTTCCTCCCATTGTCTACATCTATATCAAGGCTCCTTTCCCATCTTCCTGTCTACTCTGCCATTGACAGGTGTATTCTTCCCACACCGAGCCCCTGACAACACCTGCTCTCGGCTCTCAGTCTGGAGCTTAGGAGGCTCTGTTGAGATCTCGTGTCTAGCTCTCTACAGGCCCTTATGCTCAAATAAACTCAGCATCTATGTTAGACTTTTCTTTGTTGTGACAAAATATCTAAGGAAGAATTTAAGGGAGGAATTACTTACCATATCGGATGTTTCTACCCATAGTCTTTTGGCTCTGATGATTATATGTCCATGTATGGCAGAATATGATAACAGTGGGTGCTTGTGAGAAGATATTCACTCTACAATTGACTGGAAGGAGGGCTTGGGATACGTTATAGTCCCCAAGGACAAGCCCTTCCAGTGACCTCTTTCTTTTAGCTAGGCCCCACCTTCTGAGGTTTCCAGAGCCTTCCAGAATAGCATCACCAGCTGGAGACCAATTTTTTTTTTTAACAATGAAGCTTTGAGGAACCTTTTATATTCAAACCCTACACACACACACACACACACACACACACACTCATACACATACCTGTTCTACCTCCCACGTCCCTCCAGCACTGAAGGACACCACCATTTTGAAAAGACTTGTCCTTTATTTATTTATTTATTTATTTTTGTCAGGCATGGGGCTTGAACTCTGGGCTTGGGCACTGTCCCTCAGCTCTTCAGCTCAAGGCTGAGTACTCTACCACCTGAGCCACAGCGTCACTTCTGGTTTTCTACTGGTTTATTGGAGATAAAGAGTCTCACAGACTGTCCGGGCTGGCTTTGAACCGTGATCCTCAGATCTCAGCCTCCTGAGTAGCTAGGATTACAGGCGTGAGCCACCAGCGCCCAGCTCTTGTCCTTTTTTAAAAAAAAAAAAGTATTTTTTTATTGTAAAGATACTTACATGAGCCATCTCCTGTCGATCATTGTTCCCTCTTATGCTTATACATACATGAAGACTATTGTCTCGTGCCATTTGGCCTGCTAGAACAAAACATCACAGACTAGGAAAATTCTAAGCAATAGATTTTATTTTTGCTCATAGTTCTTGAACCTGTGAGGTCCAAGAACAGGGTGCCGGCAGATTCAGTGTCTGTTTATATTACATTTTATTTTTTTTATCCTAGAACACGTATTTGTTGAGTATATGCAACCAATTTTCTTTAGTTATTTTTCAGGTGGAGTCTCACTTGCTTTTTGCCCAGGTTGACCTCTAGTTACAATCCTCCTGATCCACCACCTCCTGAGACAAGCTATTATACTTTATAGGAAAATGAAGAAATGTTAAAGGTTACTTGT